GCTTCGATCAGTTTGCCTGCTGAAAGCAAAAGATCAGGGGAATAGAATCTAATGAGGAGCTTCCTACTGGGGGGTTTCTTATAGACTGGGAACTGAGAAAATGCAAGCTCACCTCTAGACAAAGCCCATTGCTGCTGTGGCTGACTTTCCCTCTGCATCTCATCCCTGCATGAGGGATGGGACTCTTTATTTGCTCAGTAACAGAAAAGGGCCTTTAACACCACTTCTCAGAGTGGCAGGTAAGAGTATCAGGTGGGAAAGAGGAGGAGGAAGTATGCAGTCTCTGTGCAGTACTTCACCATTGCATTATTACAAATTTTAAAAATATGCATGTGGGGGCTGGAGCAATAGCACAGCAGGTAGGACATTTTCCTTGCACGAGGCCAACCCAGGTTTGATTCCCAGCATCCCATATGGTCCCCTGAGCATCGCCAGGGGTAATTCCTGAGTGTAGAGCCAGGAGTAACCCCTGAGCATCGCTGGGTGTGACCCAAAACGCCAAAAAAATGCATGAAAAATAGAATACTGTTAGTATTCCAACAAGTTCCAAATATAAATAAGAAGTGAAAGTTCTTCTTCATGGCTCTTTTTGCCAAACCATCCCTTCTATTTTTTAATTAATTAATTAATTAATTAATTTATTGAATCACTGTGGGAAAAGTTACAAAGCTTTCAGGTTTAAGTCTCAGTCATGCAATCATCAAATACATTTCCCTTCACCAGTACTTATTTTTCACCACCAAGAACCCTAATATACCCCCCCTCCCAACCCTCCCAATACCTGTAAGGCAGATAAATTCTAGTTAACACTCTATCTACTTTGATTAGATTCATTGTTTCGACAAAAGATGCACCATTATTATTTAGAGTTTACACTCCAAAATAAGACCTGCTGAAAAGGCATTGTGGAATGATTTGTTTTCTACAGCTGGTTACAAGAAACAAATGATGTCATGCGGCCACTATCGAGGCCGCGCGATTTTGGATTTCTGATATTTTACTTATTAAGCCTGGAAGTATTTCTGCTGAGTCAGATAATTATGAGATTTGTTTCTGGTGGCTCTGAAGCAATGGCCGTGCCGGAGAGAGCCAATGGTGGGGAGCAACTCGTGACCTTGGTAGGGCGTGAAGGACGAGCTGGGAACACCTTCCTTCCCATGAGGTTTCAGTTGCCCCGTCACCACTGGCTCATACCTGACTTTCCAAAAAGCTCCAAGGCGGCCTCCATCTTGCTGTCCAGAGGGAAAAAGGTGGAAAGGAGCAACACCCTTTCCCTCCCGGGCAGGCATGGTGCCGTGGATTAACACACAGTCCATTCACTTTTCTGCCACAAGCTGCCAGGTTCTGCACTAAGTCCTTGTGCTTCTGGAGCCATGGTCATGCCAGAGAAACCATCCCTTCTAGACATCACCAGAAATCTAGAGTTTTGGCTCTAGAATCTATTATCATATATGTGATTTTTAAAAAATGGGCATGGATAGCATCACTGTGCACGTTGCATCTCCTCTTACTTGATCTTTAAGATCTTTCTGCGTTGTGCAATGTAGTGTCTATGCATGGTATCACTGTATCACTGTCATCCCGTAGTTCATTGATTTACCTGAGCAGGCACCAGTAACGTCTCTATTCATCCCAGCACTGAGATTTTAGTAGCCTCTCCTTACTCGTCTTTCCCAACAATTGGAGGCTCTCTCAGGGTCAGGGATATGAGACCTACTATAGTTACTGGTTTTGGCATATCAAATATGCCACAGGGAGTTTGCCAGGCTCTGCCTGTGCGGGTGGGATACTCTTGGTAACTTTCCGGGCTCTCTGAAAGACATATATATATATATATTTTTTTCTCTTTATGATTTGTTGCCTACTGTCTGAACTACCATCAAACATGGTGTGGCAATTATGGAAAATGGGTAGGAAGTATCTTATGATGTGTAGCATGGCCACAGGGTCCAGAAAGTGGCCTGGAATGTGGCAGGGGTTGGGTAGTGGAGGTCAGCTGCTGGGGCTGGGTCCCTTGGGGTGGGGAGGGCTCTCCCCCGGCCCCTTCTGGGGCGTCCCGTGTGAAAACAGCCTGGCATGGAGTCTCCTGTCCACAGTGATCTTAGTCATTTGTTATAACTGCTGCATAATATTTCAATTATGCACGTATGTATTATGATTTGCTAATTTCTATATTCCCAACAAATTTTAGCAGAATTTGGGCCATGTATATTTTCTTGACCATATTTTCTTCACCTCTGCTTTTTCTTGGTGTGAGAAGCTAACTAATATCCCTCCACATCCCTCTGCCACCCCAAACTCAGGAACTTGTGAATATTTTCTTGTGTGGCAAAAGGGCTTCAGTGATTAAGGACTTGGGATGTGGAGAGTATCTGGGTTACCAGGATTAACTGGATGCAAGCTCAATATTTCTAGATAGAGGAGGTTGCTGGACCACTCTGAGCATGAGGAGGACATGACGTAGCAATGGAGGCAGAAATTCTATAAACTGAGGGATGCATGTAGACTTTGGATGCTAGAAGAGACAAGGATTTGCTTCTCTCCTGGTACTTCCAGAAAATAATCTCCACAGTCTTCTTTATTTCATCCTACAATACTTATGCTTCTGCTTCTGGAGTTTGGTGGTGATTTGTTGCAGCAGCAATAAGAAACCAATATACTTTGACTGTACTTTTCGACTAATTGATCAAATCTTACAATGAGATACTTTTGGAAAGTGGAAAAAAATTGGACTGTCATAAAAAATATTATCATGAACACATGGTAGAGATTTTATTTGACTTACCAGACAAATGTTATATATGGTAATCAAGTTCAGCTGTGGGCTAAAAAGATAGTTTAAGAGGCACTTGTCTTGCATTCAGCTGCAATTGCCACAACCCTGGTTCAGTCTTTGGCATTGCATATGGTCCCATCATCATCTTTCCAAGTTTTGTGCAATGTAGTATCCATCCTGTTGATCTAAGTTATTTGTCATAACTGGGGATACTCTTTTTTAAAAAATTTATTTATTTTTTAATGAATCAAAGTGAGTTACAATTACAGACTTACATACATTTCTGGTTGCATTTCAGTCAAACAATGATTGAGTTGGTTAGATGCCACGAAGTAGGTGGCAGTGCCTTAACTGTATGTGTGTTGCAGGCCGAAGCCTCTTCCATCCTTGTCAAGGGGAGTGTTAACCTTCTCTCCTTTCATACAACACTCCTCCTGGGTACAGCGGTAGGGCGTTTGCCTTGCATGCAGCCAACATGGCCGACCCAGTTCGATTCCTCCACCCCTCTCGGAGAGCCCGGCAAGCTACCGAGAGTATCTTGCCCGCACAGCAGAGCCTGGCAAGCTCCCCCTGACGTATTCGATATGCCAAACACAGTAACAGCAAAGTCTCCAATGGAGACTTTACTGGGCCCGCTCGAGCAAATCGATGAACAACGGGAGGGCCTTTACCTTTACCTTAATGATTGAGTACCCATCCCTCCACCAGTGCCCATTCTCTACCACCGATGTTCCCAGTATCCCTCCTGCCCTCCCCCCACTACAGCCCCCCCCCCCCCCCCCCCCCGCCTCTGTGGCAGGCACATTCCCTTTTACTCTCTCTCCTTTTGGTTGTTATGGTTTGCAATACAGGTACTAAGTGGTCATTATGTTTGGTCCATAGTCTACTTTCAGCATGCATCTACCATCCCGAGTGAGCCCTTCAAAGTATCATTTATTTAGTGGTCCCTTCTCTATCCTAATTGCCCTTTCAACTGGGGATACTTTTGAGCATTGAAGCAGGTAAAAGTCCCTGAGTTCCACCTATTATGGCTCAACACCTCTTCCCCCCATTAAAATAATTATTCTTTAAAACATATAAGAAGTCAAATTGCACAAGTGCATACAGAGTAAGAAATGTTGAAATGAATGTATAAATGCAGCAAAGACTGGTTTTTTTTTTTCCTCAGAGGAAAAAAGGGAAAGCTGTTGAACCTTTACCAGATAAAGAATTTGCAGCATGGTGGTGGCAAACAGGCAAAAAAACAAACAACAGAGGGCCCAGACCAGAGCTGATTTGTGAGACTAATTGACCAGAGGGTGTAAAACAGCCTGCGGGTGACTAAAACTTCACAGGGGTGTGCTGGTGGGTCAGAATTGGTCACAGGAAGTCACATGCTGAGTGATAAAAACATTTCCTGGAGAACTTTAAAAATAACGTTAAAATCTAATTCTAAAGAACCAAGAGAGTGCCTGAGCCTCTTATGTACTAATTGGGAAGCTGCATTAAAAATGAGGTAAAAGATTCCATGAGCAGGGCTGGAGCGATAGCACAGCGGGTAGGGCATTTACCTTGCACGCAGCCAACAAGGCCAACACAGGTTCAATTCTCAGCATCCCATATGGTCCCCTGAGCACCGCCAGGAGTGATTCCTGAGTGCATGAGCCAGGAGTAACCCCTGAGCATCGCCGGGTATGACCCAAAAAGCAAAAAAAAAAAAAAAAAAAAAAGATTCCATGAGCTATGAAGGATATGCTATAGGCTGAAGACATGGACAAATGCTTATGCTCTGAAGTGCTACTTCCTACCCTACTACTTGCTATTCTCACTTGAGAACATACCCTGGGCATCTCTCACCTGTATCCATGCACCTAGCTCTTCTTAGTAACTGAAAGATATTCCCTGGAATTTAAAATCACTATTTTCTTATTAAGTTCCCCGTGGCATATTCTATATACCAAAAACAGTAACAACAAGTCTCACAATGGAGATGTTACTGGTGCCTGCTCGAGCAAATCGATGAACAATGGGAGGACAGTGCTACAGTGCTACAGTGGCATTTTCTTATTGATATTTAATTTTTTCTACCATAATAATTAAAAACCTATATGGACTCTTGTTCTTTTACTTAAAAATTGCATTGGCATAGAGAAAACCTTGAAAGTTTAGCTCAAAATCTTTACTCTTCAGAGGTAAGTGATTTTGGAGAATGTTCTCCTTTCACTTTATCCACGATTATACTGTTAAAGTTTTTTTTTTTTTTGCAAGCATGTGTTTTCATCATCCTTGTGCAGGGGCCATGCTAATCTTCTCTGTATCATTCCAATATGTGCTAGGGCTGGAGTGATAGCACAGTGGTAGTGCATTTGCCTTGCACGCGGCCAACTTGGCCGAACTGAGTTCAATTCCTCCGCCCCTCTTGGAGAGCCAGTCAAGCTACCGAGAGTCTCTTGCCTGCATGGCAAAGCCTGGCAAGTTACCCTTGATGTATTCAATATGCCAAACACAGTAACAACAATTCTCACAATGGAGATGTTACTGGGCCCACTCGAGCAAATCGATGAACAATGGGAGGACAGTGCTACAGTGCTACAGTTTTCATCAAATCAGAAAATATAAAGAAAGAAGATTTTAAATGTTAAAGGCATGCAATTTCATTAAAATTGCACACAGATGCTTGGGAACGTATTTGTACCAGCATGCGTTGGCTTCCAGAGACAGACAGAAGAGCACTTAAAAACTTGCTCTGGGCTTCATGCAAAACATATTTTAAGAAACTCCTTGCCTGATATTGTGTCTGGATAGCAGGGAACTTTTTTTTCTTTTTCTTTAGGCACTTTTTTTTTTTATGTTCTGAGTGATGGAATGGAGAGATAGTCTGAGTTGGTTCTCACTTTCCCAGCAGTAAGGCATATCCATCAACTGAATTAGATGGACTCAGTTTTCCTGTGGGTGGTGGGTTGAGAGTTACAACCTGATTTCCCAATCTCTGTGGGATTCTTGGGAATGAGGAGGCAGTCTCCATTCTCTTAGTGATGCTCTTTCTTTTGAAATGATATCATAGAGATCGCATCCTCTAGCAAAGAGCTCTTCCATCCTGGAACTAAGATTCCTTCCCCGACTAGCAGGTCTGGATCATGGCAGAGTTGATGAGAGCCAGCAACTTTGTGTCGAGGAAGGCTTCACTGTGTTTCCCAAATGGTAATGTGGAGAAGCCAGGCTGAGGTTGGGGAACCTGAGCAAAGTAGGGTGCATGCAAGCAGCAAGCAGTCACCATATCGGGTGAGATCTAACAACTTGTGCTCAGTCGGAGCTCAAACTCTCCGGAGTTTAAGGCTGCAGACCAGGACGGATGGGAATGTTTATTTCCTCTTTGAACAGAGATGCTGTGACATTCAGAGAAGATCCAGACCCCTCTCTCCAAACTGGCAGGAGATTGGAAGAAGGGGCACCGTGGGAGTGCTCCTCCTTCCAATATAAGTGTAAGTTATAACTACTTAAGTGCCAAAATTTGGTGATGGTGGGGATAAAAAATAGTGCCTGTAGCAAATAATAACTGTCATTTCAAGATAGCAGCATTTGCCCTTCAGACCTTTGCTTTCTCCTTGGCATGGCTTCCAGAGGGATTTCTTGGATGTTTCTGAGACTCCTGCAGCTACTAATTTTGGGGCAGTGTGTTAGATGAGTTGGACCACTTGCCTGCCCATCCCCTTTGTTTTGTAGTCTTTGTCAGGGAGGAAAAGGGCGAAAATCGAAAATCCACTCAGGAGAGAACAACTCTTACAGAATTTTTTTTCCCATTGCATTCAGACTATCTTTCCAGTGGGGTTCTTTTGAAAACCAGAGGTGTGAAGGAAACACAGCAATTAAGATAATTTAACTGTTTACTTCACAGCAAAAACTTGGAAGGCAGATGATTGTGAGATTTTTTTTTACCCTTCTTAATTCTCCACTTCTCAATAGGATGTTGCTGGCTCTCTTTCCAGAAACACTGGGGAATACAGTGTATTAATATTTGAGCATTAGGTGAGACTTGGCATATAAGGCATAACAGAAGGGCAACTTTATTCATGGAGGATAATGAACCAGACCAGGATGGCTTGCGCATGAGAATGTTCTGGGTATTTACCTGGGAGTAGCACAGATCAGCCTCTGTCTGCAAAGTGTGACTCCCCTTCATGTTCACAAACATGAGCATCTAAACTCTGAGTTTTTGAAAGAGGCTATGGAGGGTTTTGAGGGCAGAATCAGCCTTTAGAATCTGTGCATGGGGCTCTTCTGGGATCCCTGTTAGCAGCAATAGCTGCAGAGTCATTTCTCCACTCAAAAATGCAAACAGTTTAGCCATCCCTCTGGTTCAAAATCCTGTTCATCCTGGGTTCTGGTCAGGGCTTCTGCTGGGCAATCAATTCTGCTGGCTGAATATTTTCTCTGCTTTTCGCCTGCCTGGAGGGGAAAGGGTGTTGACCCACTCGCCCGCTCCTCTCTGGAAAGAAAGATGGCGGCCGCACGGGAGCCTTGTGGACAGCAGGTTTGAGCCGGGGGTGGGAGCGGCAGGGACCTCATGGGAAGGGGGGCGTAATGGGCCGTCCTTCACGCCCGACCGAGGTCGCCAGCTGCCCCCCACGAGCGGCTCTCCGGCACTACCACGACTCCAGAGCACAGAAACCAATCTCTTAACTATCTAACTTTTAATAGAAATTCTTCCAGGGTTAATAAGTAAAATAGCAGAAATCCAAAACCGCGCGACCGCTATAGCGGCCGCGCGACAACATTTTATTCTTAAACCAAGTTGTAGAAAGCAAATCATTTCACAACGCTGTTTCAGCATGTCTGATTGGGGGGGGGGGGTCGTAAACTCTAAACAATAATTGTGCATCTTCTATCGAAACAATGTATCTAGCCAAAGTAGATAGAGTATTAACTAGAACTAATCTGCCTCACAGGAATTGGGAGGGGTGGGAGGTGGGGTTCTATTGGGGTTCCCGGTTAAAAATAAGTATTGGTAAAGGGAAATGTGTTTGATATTTACATGACTGAGACCTAAACCCGAAAGCTCTGTAACTTTTCCCACAGTGATTCAATAAAGAAATAAATTATAAAAAAAAATATTTTCTCTGCTTTTTTAAAAAATGATCAATTCTTTATTATTGATTATCTAGATATTGATTATCTACAATTATCTACATTAATCATGCTTGAATAATTTTTAGTTTCAATATATAGATGTTTAAAACACATCAATTATATATTTTAATCATCTATTACAGTTTAAGCAGTGTGTTTATAATGTTGTTGATCTTGCGGCACAGTTTTGTTTTTTGTCTCCTGAAATTTCTTTTTTTTTAATTTTATTAAATCACCCTGATATAGTTACAAGCTTTCATGTTTGGGATACAATCACAATGATCAAACTCCCATCCCTCCACCAGTGCACATTCCCCACCGCCAATATCCCCTCTTTCCCACCCTCCCACTGCTTCCGTGGCAGACAGCATTCTCTGTACTCTCTTACCACTTTTGGCATTATGATTTGCAATACAGACAGTGAGAGGTTACCATGTTCTTGGAGCACAGTTACTGCACCTCATCCCCACCACGGAAGTGCCTGACTGACCCCACCCCCACACATGACTTGGTGTCACCTCTAGTCATCTTTCCCCTCACCACAATCTTGTGTTCTCAGTTTGTACTCCAGTGCCCATAGTTTATTATCTGTTGACATTATCTATATACAGTAGTATTTATTGTGGGAAAATAGCACATCATAGTTGATTGGTGAAAGGAGTAGGACCTTTGCCTATGATATTTATTGCCCTCTAGTGGATGGAGTTAATTAACACAAATCGTGGACTAGTCAAATTCCACTCTCATATTTTCAATGGTATATGTTGTTCATGTTTGTACTCTTAGAAAATATCTATAAATCTGTTCACTGGTATGCTATACTTCTGGGTTGAATTCCTTTTTTTTCAAAGATCGTTAAAAACAACAGGCATTTTTGCAAACCTGCTATTAATAAGGGACTGTGACTGAATTAGTAAGGGGCAGGGAGAAATAGTGTATATATCATTTATGGCCACACTGATTCCATCCCCTGCTTTTTCTGACAAGCTTGACTTTGTCTTTTTCTCTTTCATGGAACATTTTCTGCTAACTAGCTGCCCAAAGAAACGCCCTAATTGTGATAAATCATAAGCCATGCAGTCTTTTAAATGGCAAAGCTCTTTGGCATTTATTTGTCAGGTTTGAGACTTAGCAGCCCTGTGATCAGCAGGGCAGCTTATGTTATCTCTCTTTTAAAAACCTAGAGATAGAGGTTCACCCAGAAAGGTATGTTATTATCCCAAAGCTGAACAATCTGTGAGCCATGCAGGAAATCAAACCTGAGTCGGCCTGCCTTTAAGTCTACTTTCTACCCAACTTGTCTGGACAATAAAATCATCTTACAGTTCAATCACACTTCATCTTTACCTCATGGGACCCTAAAATCAGCAGCCAGCAAGGGATTTTATCCACAAAAGAACTTTGATGATCAAGGTGCCAGAGCTAGTCAACAGACTTAGGACTTCTGACAACCACTTCTGACAAAGTTCATTCTCTTCTATTCCATTGTTTCCATGATTCATCAAGGGCACAAATGGATTTATTCCTCTGTGTGTGCATCCTTTGCTTTTGTAGACTCCAATGTGTCGACTGGAAGGAGAGCTTTATGCACAATACAATCATAGTAATGGTTAGCATTGTCTTAATTATTAGTATATGGCAGGTACGTGTATGCCTGTATGTGTGTGTGTGTATGTGTGTGTGTGTGTGTGTACTCATGCATGTGCACAATTCCTCACACATTCTGTATACTTTTTATTAAAAAATTTTGTCCCAGGGACTTTGGAGCTTATAATACTATTAGTCATGCATAAATATACCAGCACCCTCCACCAGTGGCCTTCACCATTGTCCCAATGTCCATTTCCCTGAACTTCCCTGCAGTGATAAACTTCCTACCAAAGACCAGTTCTCAGTTTCTGTTGCCTTTGGGCTTTTGTTAGTCCCCTACTGTTTCTTTATATCTCACACATGAGAGAGAACATTCTGTCTGTCTCTCCTTCCGACTAACTTCACTCAGCATGATACTCTTCAGATCCACCCATGTTGCAGCAGATTGCGTGATTTCATTTTTTCTTAAAGCTGAGTAGTATTCTATTGTGCAAATGTACCATGGTTTCTTTATTCATCTCTTTTCTGAAACGGGTTTTTTTTCAGATTTTAGAGATTATAAATAGAGCTGCAATGGCCAAAGGAGTGCAAATATCTTTTCTGAATAGAGTTTTTGAGTCCTTCTGGTCGATGC